AAAACTCTAATACTTGCAATTCCGAGTTTCAGGGTTCAAGTAAAAATATGCTGCTTATTAAGGCTGGTTCCTTTCCTTTCAGTTTGAAGTTTCCTGTAGCCGGCTTGTTCTGCAAAAGCAGACTTGTCCCACGCCGCCCGGAGTTCCAGCAGGTTGAACGGGAGCCGCTCCTGTTCCCTCCCCTATTCCCTGGGGGGGTTGCAGGGGCTCAACCTGTGCCCTGCGATCTCTCTTCAAAAATCCTAAGGATTTTGAAGTTTTCGAGCCGCTTCTTAGTCGCGAAGCGGCTCTACAAGCGGCGGGGCTGGCGGAGCTTCAAAAGGCTCCGCCGCCGCCGAAGACGAGGAAACCGGAAGTCCGTGATAACTGAGTATTGATCACTGCCCCTAAATGAATAAGCCTGGTGGATGGTGTCAACTGGCTTTTGTCCCAGTTCATGGAAAATCGTGTTCCTGAAGGGTTTGGACCATAACTTCAAGGTCCAGTTCTGCCTGCTTGAGGGACGACGACTGAATTAGAACATCGTTCAAATAACACTGCAGGCGGATCAGCTGAGCATGCAGATGTGCCGCTACTATGTCCAGCAACTTGGTGAAAGTGTGCGGGGCTGACGAAAGGCCAAAGGGTAGCACTCGGTATTGCCAGTGATGGCCTGCAAAGGCAAACCTGAGAAACCTTCTGTGGGACAATCTGATGGGCACATGGAGATACGCCTCCTTGAGATCTATGGATGTTAGAAGTTCCCCTTTTTTGATTCCACCCAGGATTGTATGAAGGGATTGAATCTTGAACCTTTTGTACTTTATATGAACATTTAGTTCTTTTAGATTCAATATAACCCTTTGGCCACCCGAACTTTTGGGAACTAGAAAGAGGATGGAGTAAAACCCCAACCCTCTTTGTCCTTCTGGCACTGGCTCTATGGCCCTGATATCCAGTAAGTGCTGGATCTCTGCCTCCATCATAACTTTCTTGGAGGCATCCCTGGGAACAGGACATTGAATGAATCGTCGTGGGGGTTTGGAACAAAATTTGAGCGTCAGTCCAAGGTTTACTGTCTGTTAAGGCCCAAGCATCTGTGGTGGTGACCCACCACTGGTCGGCGAACATCCTTAACCTGCTGCCAATGGGGACCTGAAACCTTGAGTCACTTTTAACGATGGAAAAGCCGCCTACCTGCGCCCCTGAAGGGACGTCTAGATTGTGGTTGCCTAGCTCTGTCTCGAAAAGTAGACCTGTCCTGAGATCTGTCCATGTTGTGAGAATACTGTCTATGGAAATGGGAGGCGGAATATCCTGCCTCAGCCGTCCGAAAGGGCTGCCTGCAGTAAAAGGGGGTAGACCTCCTGTCTGTCCTCCTAGAAACCTGAGGTAGGACCTTATGTTTATCCTTGCTCTCAACTAGGATAGGGTCTAACACCTCTCTAAACAACTGCTGTCCTTTAAAGGGGGCCGTAGCCAACTGCCATTTGGACCTCATGTCCGCCTGCCACTGGCGTAGCCACAGTAAATGTCTAGAAGTGACAATGGATGCCAGAGCTCTAGAAGCAAATTTGGTAGAATTAAGAGTCGTATCAGCCAAATACTCAGTTGCAGCAATTATTTTACTAAGGTCTTGTTGAAGACGGGTATCTTCAGGAGATGCCCTAGCCTGCATTTGTTTCATCCATAAAAGTGTTGTTCTAGAAAAAAATGAAGCTGCTGAATTGCCCAAGCCGCTGCTTGGTGAGTTTTGCATGCAGCCAACTCCGCTTTTTTATCCTCAGCTCTCAATCCTTCAGCAGTGTCAGAAGGGAGAAGAGTAGCTGCAGCCAAATTTTGCTAAAGGAGCATCTACCAATGGGACTTGAAGAAGTTCCTCAAGCTCCTTTTCAGCTGTGTGCATCTTTTTATCCATGGGTGCAGGGACTGGGTGCAGGGACTGAAGCAGGTTGCTCCCATTGCTGTTGAATAACATCAACGAAAATTTTTGGTGAAGGAATGACTTCCTGTGTTGTGATTTGTTCTATAAAAAGACTAGCACAAGATCTGTGGTAGAATTATCCATCCTACCCATGTTGGCCGTAGCTTTGGCCTTAAGCAATAAAGTCTTAAAAAGATGAGGCCTGAATAGACCTGAATATGTGGGTCTATCTGGGATCATCCCTTCCTCATCTGAAAATTCAAATTCCCTTAATTCCTCTTCTCCTTCCAGTGAAGCCTCACTGTGAACTGATTGGGAGGTACAATGGGAACCCTCAAGATGACCTTTGTCTCTATGCTGATGGTGCAAGGGATCAGATCTAGAAGGGCCTGGCTGTAAAGGAGCCAACAAACCCTCTTTAGCAAGTGCTTCATCAATGCCCTGAGAAATAGTCTGTACTATAACAAAACGCAACTCTGCAGATAATCCCTGTCCTGCAGACTCCTGAGGGCGGAGCCCAGCTGCTGTGGGCGTAAAAGTAGCAGATGGAACAGCCTGTCTGTTAACAGGTACAGGTGATGCATCTGAAACAGACAATACAGGAGCCTGATCAGTCCCTTCCTGAAAGGGAACAGCTTGAAATCCTAATGACTCCTGAGGCACATTAGGAGACCAATTAGGTTCATCCTGTGAACCTGGGATTCCAAGTTCACAGGCCCTTATCCTTATCAGGCCCACCTTGACTCCCAGAAGGTACTGTTGATGTAGGAATGCCAGCTATTTTCTGGGCTTTTGCAAAATACTTCTCCAAGGCCTTTTGCCTTCTTTGAATATCTTTCTCAGCTGCTGCAGATGAGAGTTTGGCCTGCTTAGCCTGAGAACTGGCAGCCATCTTGCTAGAACGTAATCTGGGTCTTTTAGGGGCAGAACACCCTGCCTAATGTAAACTAGATGATGACTCTTCTGAATCACTAATATTTGCCATTATTGGAGTATGCAAGGTCAAATTATACTCACAGGTGACTATTTGGGAAAATTTGTGCTAGGAAATCCTAGACTTATTACTCACTGCGCAGCCAAGGTCACCAATTTAATGCCAAAACCGGCAACATGGCTTGTAATGCGTCTAAGTTGCAAACAGCAGCAGCAGCCAAGCACCCACGTTGTAGCAATGGCGTGGGACCGGCAACACGGCCCCAACCGCCAGCAAACAGTGCCTAGAAACTGGCAACACGGTCTACTTGCACTTCAGATGGCTTCCAAACAATCTCCAGACCTTAGAAGGACGATTTCAGGAAGCGATGTTGCTGCCTGGCCATCTGATTCCTCTCTCGCTGCTTCAAAAGCTGCAAACAAAATGGCCACCACCCACAAAATGGCGGCTATTGGTCCTCCGATCAATGCGCGAAATTGCTGCTCTTCGCCTTCCTTGCAACAAGAAGCGGAAAACCGAAGCCCCAGCTCTCCCAGCAGCAGCAATGGCCTTTCCAAGCCTCTGCCACCCTCACCACACCAAACGATCCACATGGCAATGCTGCCTTAGTAGCAATCCGATCGCTATTGTAATACAGCCTTCAGCGCTGACTCACTTTCTTAAGCAGTCCCTGCCAGCACGATATTTAAAGAGGCTCTGTCCTTTTTCCTATTTTTGAATAACGAAATTGAGCAAATTAATTAATAAATTGAAGAGCCAACTCTCTCCCAGACTGAGTTGAAAAAAACTGAGGCTCGGCCAGGAAAAGTAGGCATGGCCAAAGAAATTTCCAACTCAGTTCTCTGACGTCACAGACAGAATTAACCCATGCTTGGACTCTCCAAGCAGCACACTGGAGAAAAACAGCTTCAACCTCCTCAATCCACAAATTTCACTCAGCTCCACTGACAAAACTTGTTGAAAATCCAACTATGGAAATCAAACTCGATTTATTTGCCAGAACAAATGGAAAACCAGTCTCTCTAGCTCAACTGAGTGGAATAAACTGGAGCTCAGCCGAGCGGACGAGGCGTGGTCAAGGAAATTTAAAGAAATACTCAGTCTCTGGCAAATAGACAAAAAATAACCCATGCTTTGGATTCTCCAAACAGCGCGCTGAAGAAACCTGGTTTTTCACCTAGTCCTTCGGCAAAGGAAGGTAACAGCCCCTGCTCCCTCAATCCGGTATCAGCACACTCGACATCTTTTCTCTTTTACATTTTATTGATTTTGTTATAATTTTTGTTTCATTGTCGTTGACAATTGGATAACATACAAGTTTAATGAATTTTTGCTACTATTACTATAAATGTGTAAGAAAAAAACAATGAATATAACAGACGCCTGAATCAAGGCACCCTTATAGGCAGCAAAACTTGTATAGTAGTTTTGTCCAGGTCTGTCAAGACTATGTCTCTTTCACAACTTTTAGTTGTCATGACCAATTACCCTAATTTAACAATGAGTTAAATTTCCAATTATATATGAATGGACTGAATCTTTTCAAATTCTTCTCAAGCTTCCTTGCGATGTTATGAGTACAATGGAGGTTTCTGCATTATTTATACTGATGAAATATCTACATTATAGTACAATAATGTACTATACATTCTTAAAATATTCCTTATTTATGATGATGTTAACACAAATACTAACTGTAAGTATCACAATTTAACTGAAGAAATCCCAAGTATATATATATGATAATATTTATCACTCTGAACATTACAATAAACTCAATTGTACATTTTGTTTACTCCTCTCTGCTTGCAAGCCTTAGCCACACAGCATATGAAAGACCTTGGAATTGTTTTAAAGATCAAAGGAGAATTTGAACTTCATAAATAAAGGATGTCACATGGATGGTATATCAATGTGACTGTAATGTGCACCTATGTATGTTAAATCTTATCCTGACAAAATAGGAAACTATGCAGAAAAAGTCTCTTGAACAGGTGAAGTTTTAGCTAACTCAAAAGATTAAAGCACCTGTGGCTTCATGAAATTGATTTATTTCAGAAGTAACACATGTCGGAGTCAAAAACTTTGTACTGAATGAAGACCAACTGGCACTGTAGACAGAAAAACAAAGCAAGAAAGGATATTTAGAGTGGAAATTCCTACTGTGGTACGAGCCATCCCAAAGGATGAGGAATTTGTCCAATGGCACCAGAAGACAACGGATAATAAGGAGAGAGTTCTGAAGGGTGGGGTGGTCGCGGAATTCCTGATAGTAAAGAAACAATAATATACGTTAAGAGAGTCTCCTCATTAGAATTCTTTTCTATTCTAAACTAGAATCCCTACCTCCCCTCTAGTTAGAAATGTGTAAATAACTTTTTAATTCCAGAATTTCATAAATATCTGCTGATAAACTTACTTTTTTGTGTTGACTCTTTCCCACTCAATTTATTTATTGTGCTTTTCTCTTGGCAAGGCACCCAAACACTTTGATAGGCTTTGGATAAGACTGTGATTTTCAAACACTCACCTGTCTTTGGGTCAATCTCTGGGGAGAGATGGGAAGGTGGTGAACTTGGTGAAAAGTGATCATTGCTATAGGTGATGAGTGGTGTCAGAGGGTGCATGTGATGTGGATGCTGAACTACAGGAACTTTGTTTGACTGCAAGAGAAAAGCAAAAATGTATTTGTAACGCTTCTGACCACGACCAAATCGGGTTCTGCCCAAAAAATTCACAATTTTTTTTTCCGCAGCTGATTTCCCCTTCCACGCCATTTTTTTAGTAAGGGCCAAATTTCCAAAATTAGGTTCTGGTCATGACCAAATCAGATTGCAACCAAAGTTATGGAACGAATTATGGTCGTGACCAGAGATTCTACTGTATTTACTTCTATTTTTAAATCATTTATTACCTGAAAAAACAAGGGAAGAATAAAAAACATAATTTGGGAAGTTAATTTTTCTATTTTATATACATACTCACAGATATCGCATAGGCTTAAAATAGATCTAATACATGAAATAAAATTTTCCGTATGGAAAGAGCTATTTGGTTTGTGGTGTGCTTGAGGTTTCATCACTCTAATTTATCTTTACTATAAATTAAAGGCACCAAACACAACAGAGATCCCTAACAAAACTGCCAATTTCCCTTCACTGAACAAGCTATTTCCCTCCAATTAACTGTTATCAAACCAATATTTTGACTTTTAAGCATGCTCAGTGGCCTTCAATAATAACCATTGCCACAGGCATTTTTAACGACAAAAAAAAAATTCTGATACCCAAATATATTTACATAACTCTTTGATAAAGATGTTTGCAATAAAAACTATGCTGATGCTCCTCCAGCAACATCTGTTCTCCTAAGTGATTGATAAGTCTATCTTCAGTATTGTTTTCGACAATTTGATCTGGAACAATTTATATATATATATATATATATATATATATATATATATGCCGCCCTATCTCCGAGGACTCAGGGCGGCTCACAACAGTAAAAATGCATAGTTCCTCATTAAAAGCGATATAAAATCAAAGTTCCGATTTAAAACAATTTAAATTCATTAAACACCCCCCCCCCCCAAAAAATCAGTCCAGGCTGCGGAACAACCAAGTCTTCAAATCGCGGCAGAACGAGCGAAGGTCGGGGCCATTCGGAGCTCCAAAGGAAATTGGTAGGATAACTTGCCTACTCCTTTTTTAATAAAAAAAAAAATGAGTATAACATTGGCTGATTTTCAGGGCTCAAGTTTTAGGGTTGGGGGGGCTATTTTATCTCAGAGTTCAGCATTTTTGAAAACTCAAATTTGACTTCTGTAAGAATAATCAGTAGTGTTCTGTTTGAACTTATTAATTTTTAATTTGTTAATTACCAGTTCATCTCTGTAAAGACCATTCAGATCTTTAAATTAAAGAAATTCTGAGGTTAAAAAAAGACAGACAATGTTATTTATTGGCCATCTCTCTTTTACTGTGCCTTTTATTCCTTTATTATTTACTCATCTCTAATGGGTTCCTCCTCCTGATAATTTCTTTTACTCTCAACATTCCAGCAGTAGGCTCCTTAAAAATATTTTCCATTTGTCTTATCAGCAAACTCGTTTTGCCATCGTCTACACTAATATCTATTTTCATTTTGGCAATATTTCCATTTCTTGCTTTTTCCTATCTCTTGACTATGCTCATAAACAACATCCACATTCTCTTGGACTTCTTCACACCGTTCTTAAGTTGTCCAAGCCTGCTCTAGAGAAGATCCTCTCATTTCTGCACTGGAAATGAAGAACTGGATCCAAAATGAAAACTTGAAATCACTTCATAAGAGAAGCACAATACAACATTGGGAGGAATCCTACTCAAGAAGTATAAATAGATTTCTTATACAGGCACTGTAATTCTTAAATCATTTTGCCTGTGTATGCTTAAGATATGATAATATTTTTCAGAATCACATAATACTCACCATTCTTAACACAAGCTAGTAGTTATCTATTCATTTTAGGATCATCAGATCATTTCAGGGAAAAGCTGAAACTTGTTTTGTTTTCTGCTGCTAGTATGTACATGTTGCAAAATAGTTAACTAGCACACATCCCATCTTGTCGTAAAACAACCATACTGGCAAAAAGTCCATTTTTCTTTTTAGCCAAATTCAGATAGCTAAGAGATAAGCTATTTAAGAGTTTAAACCTTGTATCATCATCCCTAGTATCAAGATCAATATTGGAGGCCTTTCTCTGGGCCACCATAACTTTGAAGGCAAGGGAGGCAGCAACCATTTTTGATGATAACACTCTCACTTTTAAGTCCATTTTAGGGAGACATGCTTGGTGCAGTTTCCCCCCCTCCAATACAAATTTTGCTGATACCCTGCATAAATTACTGTCCTTTTAACATGTCTCAGAAAGTTCTTTAATTAAAGTAATTTAAATAAAAGTCATTCAGTTCTGACTATAGAAAATATTCAAAACTACTTTTAAAATGAACACGTATTTGCCAAGAAATTTAACTACATAATAGCAACATAAGTATTATTTAAGTAAAACCTGATTTCTGGCAATTTCATGGACAGATCCATAGTTTTCTAGGATGAAGAAGTTAGCCCCTGCTGCCATCGTAGATAATTTCCCAATCAAATCCATCCTTGATATATTCTAGAAACATCCCATATAAGCAAGTACTAACTAGGCCTGATCTTTCTTAGCTTTCAAACATAGAAGACTAGCCTGGTGCAGCCATCTCAAGAATGATAGCCACATGAACTCACGCTATGCACTACTTAGCAGACTGAAATATGGTGGTCACAGGGAAGGTTGCAAATAGCAATCACATGACCATGTTGTCATCATTAGCTGAGCATCCAAGTGCCTGGATTGTGATCATGTGATAGCGGAGATGCTGAAATGAGCAGTCAATGAATAAATGAACATGTTGCTTTACAGATGTTAAAACTCAATATTAAATATTTAGGAAAGTTGTGTTTAGCAAGTCAATCCCTCTAAGAATTTTTAAGATTCTAATTTCAGCTACAACTGCCATGTAATTTGCTATTTACTGTATAAAACTTCTCTCAAAAATATTTCATTTCACTTTCTAAATAAGATTATTTCAAATCAACTGCAGCAGTGTAATTTCTGTCATCATGAATGCTCGGAAAAATCTGAAAAATTTCTTTCAGCATGAATACACTGCGTGATACAATGCAGATCAAGGCTGATCCGTAGTAATGGGGTATGGAGAGAAGTTGAAAGATCCCTTTTTCAGTTAATTAAGAGTCTCACTGTCTTATTTTGCCATTGAAACAAAAGATTCTTCTAGTCACATGTTTTTATGGTGGACTCATGAAAACCTAACTTGAAATTCAAAGCCTGAGGCACAGATATTTTAAACACAGCTGCAAGATATTATGCCTTGAAAATTAATTGTCTCATTTTTCAATGGTTGTTTTTTTCTTGAGTTTCTTTTTGCTAAACCAAAGAATGCTTCTTTAGAACACTTGTGGTACTGATGAAAATGCTCTTTGTAACGAACTAGTATCATGTGAGATAGATAACTATCACACAATAATTTATAAGGAATCATCTTTCCCTTTATTTTTTTAATTAGAAATTCAAATTTTTATGCCCCACCTTGAACGTAATAGCTTCAGTAATACTAAACTAACTGTGCTGAAGGAATATAGATGTAGGTGTATATATTCATAAATAAACCTTCATTTAACAATCACAAGACCTATAAATGAACCACTAGCACTTACTAAATGGGCAGGAGAGGGAGATCGTGCATCCTTTAGTGTAGCTCCAGCTGGTACATCTAGAAGTGGCCATTTCACCTGAAGATACTGAAAGAAATCAGATTAAAGGACATAACTAATCACCATGAAAAAATCGTATTTTTTCCAAAGCTTAATTGTCAAGTTTAGTTTAATACAAAGGTTGTTTTTGGTGGGTTATTTTTTAATATCAGAAATCTCTTCAATGGTTGTGGTGTATTTTTAGCCTAACACCAAGATAGTATTGTAATTCTGGGAATTTGGTTCCTCAGCACTGGTTTTCAAGCTGCCTAGGTAATCTAAAAGTAATAATTTATGTATGTATGTATGTATGTATGTATGTATGTATGTAAACATTAGAGCAGTGATGGCTAACCTTTTTGCCATCGCGTGCCAGGAGCAGGGGGTGTCGCATGCACGCATGCCCACACCCATAATTCTATGCGTCCTGCCCCCATGCATGCGTGCACGACCCCCACTCTGGCACATGATGGCACATAGACCTGTTTTTCTCTCTCCCCAGCTTCCAGAGCCTTTCTAGGAGTCTGGGGAGGGTGAAAACGGCCTTCCCAACCACTCCCCGCGGTCCTTCAGAGGCCAGAAACAGCCTGTTTCCCTACTTCTGATGGGCCCAGAAGGCCTGAAAATCAGCTGGCCGGCGCATGCATGCACGCCAGAGCTGAGCTTGCGTGCCAACCGATATGGCTACACATGCCATCTGTGGCACGCAGGCCATAGGTTCGCCATCACGACACTAGAGTATATTTCTGATATGAAATGGGATAGGGAACAATTGATTCAGCAAAATTTAGGTACTAACACTATATACCAAATGTTATAGAAGCCAACCACAGACAAATCTAATTGCACTGTAACTTGTATCTTCAGTTTATCAATATTCAATAACTATTGATTTATTCTATATTTCAATGGTCAAACTGAGAATGCTCTTAAATAAGCCAACTCACTAACACTCAGTATGAGCTATTTAAAACAAATCCACCAAAGTACCCTTCAAAGCTTAAAGCATGCACATTAATTTTAGTTTCACATTCAAATGTAAATGCATTTTTCTGTAATTTTCTAGCATTGATAATGTACATTGGTCTTTGTTACTGGACATAATAAAGCTATTTTGCATTGTATTTCTAGCAGAGAAAGATAAGTATCTCATGCCATTATAGCTGAATACATGGATCCTGTGAAATGTTGGAGATTTGAGAATGTGGATGGATGAGTTGCAGCTGTGCAATGGAATTTCCCTAACACACAAATCTTCATGATGTAAAACAGCTGGAAGGAAATCCCAGCATGCTTTGTTTGGAGGCTGAACAACCAATAATTTAAATGGAAGATTAACCCTTCAACTTAAAACAAACTTTCAAATTTCCTCTAACTATTTATTTCAGGTGGGAAATGGTGCATAAATGCCTAGAAAACTACAGTCTCTTAAAAAACCAGACAACTATTCCTAGGCCGAAACAAGAAAGGTAAAAAGCATTTTTAAAATCAGATAAATTTTATCTCCTTTGCCACCTATCTAATTCAAATCATGCAGACATAATTAACACTGACAATAGTTTGGTAGTGGCATGCATGCAAGTTATCTTGATCTATTTCTGTTTTGATATCTTTTTTAGGTATTACAAACTTTTAGGACATATTTTAGGGCACATAAATGCTTTAGAACTTTTTTTTCATCTAGTAGAGGATAAACTGATATCATCCTTTCTATTGAGTGATTGCAAGATTTTCACACAATGAAATATTGTTAAAACTTTTTCAGTATTTTGGGAAGGATAAGCTAAGAGCAAAGAATTACAAAATTCACACATATAATAGTCACATTAGCATCTTTTACAATTTTCAACATGGCAAAAGAAATACAGTAACTGAATAGAGTACTTTTGGCTGACAGAATATAAAATATTGCACATGCCTGGACAGATTGCCTTGAAAATTACCTTGAAAGTAGAAGGCCCAGAAGACAACCTTTGAACAGATTTATTCAAAAGACAACTGAAATACAATCTGGCTGCTCATTTCATTATAACAATTTAACCACTAAATCAGTATTCCACATTCATATAGATATTTTACAATATTTATAATATACCCCAATCTTAATGGAGTCTATATGTTGGACTAAACATTGTAGGATAAGAAACAAAAATATTCCAAAATGTTTTGTCTCCAGTCACATCTTCAAAATATTTTTATACTCTTATGCCTTATTCTCTCTACTCTTATTTTTAATTCAGCAAAAAGTATTCCTGTAGGATAAATTCCTAGCGATAGGAATGGTAGGATAAATTTCCTGTTAAATTACAATACTGCTACAATTCCTTGCAGATAAACTGAGAAGAAAGTGCCCTTTAGGGCATTCAAATCAATAACCTTGGTTTGTAGACCAAAGTCTTAAATTCACAAGAATCAATTTCTTTAAATGAACCAGTTTCAAAAAATAACTTTTGTTTTGAAAAGTCTCTTTTCTTATGTCCACTATCTCAATAATGTCCCCTTGAGTGTAACAACCAGAAATAGTTTCCCCCCAAAAAAACATTCCTTATGTTGTAAAATATCCATTTAAGACCTGGGTTAGGATCAGTTACCTAAGGAGCATCTTCGCTAGTTTGTATCAACTGGACTTTTTAAGAGGATATAATGAGATTTTCCACCAGGTCCCGTCCGTTTTTCACCCCCCCCCCCCCCCCCCCGGGTCAAAAATAGTCAGGTGGCTTTAAAAGGCAGTTTTTTTCTATAGTGAATTTCTGAAATTATAAAATTTATGAAATTCCCTTTCTTAGTGAGGCTCAACTGGTATTCACATTAGCATAATTTGAGTGCCAAGTGAAAGTACTATTTTCCTCAGGGTTTTAATTTGTATTTTAGATTTTGAACAACCTTCTTACCATTGCCTAGCTTGTATGGTTTTTCATTTTGACTTTATTGCCTCTTATGTTTTTATTCAGATTGTATATTTTAATGTATTTTACTGCAGACCACCTAGAATGCAGCTATTGGGCAGTTCTAAATTTTAAAATAAATTTGATAAAAATAAACAAACATGGTTAACATTCACTCTAACTGAACTTGCAAGTTAGGACTTGAAGTAAGAAATGTACTGGGATTCACATTTCAGTTTTAGATGAACAATAAATTCAGTTGAATTATAGTGAAAAAATTTAAGTGTTGAATGTCCTGCAGAAACAATCTAAAACAAATTGTACCAGCAATTTGAGATATTTTTTTTATCCTTCCAAGAGGAGAGTTTACAGTTTGGAAAAGGTCATTTAGACCTCACAGTCCAGTTCCCTACTCAGTGAAGGAATGCAAATTAAAACACCCCCGACTGATGACAATCTAATTTCTACTTGAACACATCTAATGAAAAACTCTACCCACTATATCTCAGATAAGAGGTTCCAATGTTGAACTGTTACTCTCAGGAAGTTTTGATCTAGTATTTAATTGGAATCTGCCAATTATGCCTTTCTGTAACTTAAATCCGAGAACAGGTCTTGCCCTCCTCTTACATGACATCCGTTCACATATTTGAACTGTACTATCATATATCAGTGGCCTTTTCTCAAGGTTAGACACAAGCATATCCTAAAAACTTTAAACTCATCATCATGACTGTTCTTTTCTGCACCTATTCAAACTTCCTTCTTAAAAATCTAGTGGATTTGGGGATTTGTATACAGTTCCTAGTGGATAGACCAAACCCTATGCTCTCTGAGGCCTAGTAAAGATATAGTTAATACTTTCACAGCAGTTATCGGGCGTCTATGGAAAGCAGCTTTATTTGTTAGCATCCAGCACAAGATTAAGGCCAGATTTCACATTCCTCCTCGGGAGCAGAGCAAACATTTTGAATTTTGGAGCGACTGCCAATTTTGTTATATTTTTTTTAAAAATATGAAAGTATTCAGGATTTTTCCCTTTGGACATGAGAAGCAAAAATTGGAAGGTGACCAATGAAGAAACCACCTTTGGACAAAGGAAGTGGGATTTGTGAATACTTGACATGAAACAGGAAGAGAGCTTATCTCATTCCCATAAAACACACAAATAGTCTACTGTAACAGACTACTTTGTCCATAATGCAGAACTGTTTTTCTTCAACCTTTTTTACATTTTAGCTGTAAAATTCAGCCTCAAAACTTAAAACTGAATACAGCCAAAACTAACAATACCAGGATAAAAATGAATGAAAATGCACAAGCAAACATCCTTCCTCCTAAGCAAAGGAAAAGACAACTGGCCTCCCAATACCAACTATGAGCTAAAAGGATTATTTCCTTCAAAATAACTCCTTTAGGCAGCAATTAAAGAGCAATTCTTGTAAACTTGATGAACCATTACAAAATGTATTACTGGCAGTTATTATAATAAAGCATCATTTGCAAGGAAGCACAAATTTAAGTTCAAGTGGTTAGTTTCTACAAATTTAAGCTTGGTAGCCTAATATTTTTCTGTAGGCAAGATTGCATGATATACTGAACATGACTGTGTTGTCCCTAAGTAGAAGATGTACACCTTGGTACTGCAATAATTACAGATTGAGGCCATTAAAAAATCTCCTATTTGTTTCCTTGCAGACATCAAATGTTTGCATCAGTGTCTGATGACATTGCCTAGTTGGGTAATGAAATGTCTGCAAGCAAATAAGCTCAGAGAGCAACAAGAACTCTACAATTCAACTCTTGAGGATTCACAATGGCAGAGTCACTGTACTAAACTAATCCATTTCTCAATCCTTTAGTTTTTAGCAGTGCTGTGGAGTCGGAGTCGAGGAGTCGGAGTAAATTTTGGGTACCCGGAGTCGGCAAACAATGCACCGACTCCAACTCCTACTAAATTTAGATTGGAATTTTAAAAAAAAAGCAAGTTTAAATGTCCCAATTCACAAAAAGTTATAATTAATGACTTTTCTACTGTAAGAATAAAGACCAATGCATGCAGTGCCTCACGTAACCGCAAAACAAACACGTTAAGTGACCGTGAAGAAGCATGCTTTTCATGTGCTTCACTATATGGCACGCAACGCACAATTAGGAGCGGCA